CGAACTAGTAGAGCTACAACAAAAAAACATGGATTTAACAAAAAAAACAAGGTGAAAAACTTCAAACACTGAAAAAAGATAGACTATGAGCTCAAATAGAGACACAAGCAAGAATTGCTTGATTGTTCAAAATCAACCCTTTGACTGAATTCGTTCCAGAAATCTAACGAGGCACACTTTAAACTACTTCAAAAAATTTCTGAATAAAAACTAAAAAGAACAAAGGATAAGAGATTGTCACATCTTACCAGTCATCCGCAAGAGAAATTTTCTGCCATGTGTAATTTTGTTTATTGTAATTTTGTTTATTTCGATGATAAAAACGAAGTATAACTTGCTCGGCGACAGTTTAAAAAAAAAACAATTTTTTTGAAAAGAAACAATCTGTTTATTATCGCGAGCGTTTGCCTCAGTGCGAGGCAGAATCTAGATCAATTCTAGGTGCTATAAGACTGATAACAGCAACCAATTATTGTTCTGTCTAGTTTGAACATCTATCTGAAGAAAGTAAATGTTCGTGAACTTCACAAAAACAGGTATTTTTTCCATTGCAGCAAACAGCTGAAAGGAGTTGCGATACATCAACAATTAAACGAGAAATAAACTCGGAAATTGAAGCCAATGATCAGAAGTCGCATTCCATATAAAACCAAAAACCCGATAGACCGATAAACTGAAAATGAGATTAAAACAAACTCAATCAAAATCTTTTGTGTTGTTACGTTTGCTTGATTTAATTTTTGCTAATGAATTGCCTGTGAGCGGAAAAAGTCAATTTTTTTACCTTAAATTTCATAGCATTTGTTTTTTTGAGACCCCATTTATCACGTTGTTAAAGTTTTTTTTTATTTCTTTTTAAAAATCATAAATTTTTTTCTAACTGAAACCACAATAAATTTTTGTTGATAATAAATAGAAAAAATGAGTTTTTTCTCAAATTCACTCAGTCCTGTTTGGCTTGCTTCTGATTTCCCTAGCGAGTCTGTTTCTGCTGGGATTTAGGCAGCGCTTGGCAAGGAGATAACGGACAGCCAGAAATGAGTTAAGTCTAGAAAAAAACTTCGATTAAGTATTTTTTGGGTGATTTGTGACTTTCGCGGCAAGTGTCAGCATCTTTATCAAACTCTTTACACACTATGTGTTTAGTCTAATGTTTCTATTATAACTTTTTATGTCACAGTTTTTGACTTAATTTTATTAGTTTTTTTCTTTTTTTTCTTTCAAAGTTTTTTTTTTGTTTGAACAAAGTCTCATAAAAAAGAGTAAAACTATCAAACATCGGAAAACCATTTGTGTCGACCTAAAAGAAATGAAGTGACATAATCCGAATGTGGATTAAATTGGGTGCAGTTTTTTTTTGACAGTATCCAATTATCATTAACAGAAACCTTTAAAAAGCTAACTGTATTAAACAAATCAAACTGCATTAACAAATCAAACTGTATTAATCAAACTGCATTAACAAATCAAACTGTTAACTGCATTAACAAATCAAACTGTATTAAACATATCAAACTGCAAAGGCTTTGTAATATATTTCAAAGACTACTTAAAATGTCAGAAAACAGATCAATTAACTTCAACCAACTTTACAATTTTAACAATAGAAATCAAAGCAAAAGCGAAAAACCATTTTTGAGTTTTTTTTACTTAACATCTAGATCAATTAACTAACAAAGCTGTAGTATGTTGGAAACACGCTTAGGATTGTTGATCATTTCTCATGATGCAACGCAAATTGTTTGCGGTGAACTTAATACAACTTGTACAGGAACCTCAAAATAACCTTTTGATCTGTCAAACTTTTTTAAGTGAACAATTTGAGACTACTAAACACAATAAAAAAAACACATTAGCACGTAGATCAAAAATGGTATTTGATTTGTAGTTTTCTTATAATTAAGGGAAATTTAAAAATTTTACAAACGAAAACATTGGATTATTACCTGTGTTATTTGAAACAAAAACAGTAGAAAAATCATCGACTCAAGTTAATTTTTGATTCAGACAAGGGGAAAAACTGACTACCTTCAAGTTTACACAGAACCTCAGTGAAAACTCAAGATAAAGCTATCAAAATGTTTTTACAATTTCACACACTTTGAGTGTAAAACGCATTTTGCAAAATGATTACAGTTCCAACTGAAAATGCTAGACAAATTTCTATCAGAAAAAGGAATAAAGATGAAAAATGAAAAGTCAGAGTAGATAACTCCAATAAAAATGAAGCAAGTAAGAAACAGAAACTGCGGCAAAACAATGTCAACCTGAAAATATCCATAAACGGAAAAAAAAGAGCGGGCAAAAAACAGTTAAGCATCTGATGCCGAACAACAAAAAGTCATAAAACCATCAAAAATTTTACACAAAAATTGAAAATAATTATAGGGACTTTTTCAAACTTACCAATGAAGTAACCGGTAAAAGTAAACCCGAAAAACTACAAAAATTTGATGAAAAAGTTTTCAATAATTGTTTTTCAACCAAAGGAGAAAAAAGAGCAAAATTGATGAAAAAAGCAGCATAGCTAGGAAGCAGCGACAAAAATTACATACGATGTTATTAAGGCCGGTTGAAATGACTGACGTTTCTGAGGCTATAAAAAACTCAATTTCAAGATATAGTACATATTGTTTCAATTTGAATAATTGTTTCTCGAAATCAATAGTAAACAAAAATGCCCCATAGCTGAAAATGTTATTCCGAAACTGTTTTGAGGAATGAGTATTCCAGCCTGCATCAAAACTGCAAAAATGAATCAGCTTCACAAAAAAGGATCCAAACGTAAGCCAATAAACTGGAGATCAGTTTACTTACTTCTCAATGAATATAAAAAATTTGAAAAAAAAAATAATTTACAATAAATCAAACGAGTTTTTCGACCATCAAAAAATTCTACAGATTACATATTTTCATTTTAGTAATTATTGAAGTTCAATTGATGCCGTTTTGTTACATATCGCAACAATCCGTCTTGAGTGGCGCAATCAAGAGAAATCAACGCAATGTACTTTTCTTGATCTTGAAAAGCTTTTGACACGGTTGATTGAATACAAATACTAAAAGTGTGAATCTTATGGAATGCGTGATAATTTTTGAATTTTTGACATCCTATTTTGAAAACAGGATACAGTTTGCGTATCTCAATAAACGTAAATCGTCACTGCAACAAAATTTTCATACTTTTCTTTATGGTGACAAAACTGCAATTTTAAATTTAGCATTCGATGACTCAAGCATGCGATATACACAAAAAGTATACATCATCTCAACTTCTTACTTATGAGAGTTTTAAAACATTCAATGAAATAATCTGAAAAATGCCAAGTAGATATTTTATGCATCGTGATAACCAAACAAGACCTAAGTGAAATGTCAAAACAAAAAAAGAACATCTAAAAACTTAACATTTGGTGCAATTTACAAAATAAAAAACTCGCTGCTTTTAAGATCAAGAAAACGGCTCAGTTGAGTCTTTAACTATGGAATAAAATGGGATTACTTTACCCAGAAAATATCCAAAACAGTCACAAACAGAAAGAACAACATTTTCTTAGATAACTTCATATTGAAAAAAGAAGTTCTATTGAACTTAATATACAGCTAGTAAATTTAAAATAACCTTTCAATAGGTTACTTGTAATTTCTTTTTCATTTTTTCTCAGAAAGCTCATATTTGTTTGAGTTTTTTGCATTCTGGTCAAAACCGATGAATATCGGAGTTGGATAATTGTAAAACAATTTAAATTTTGCGAGTGGAGAAGTCTGAAAACGGACCAGAATGTCTCATGACTGTCTTTCAGGCTAATGTTTAATGGTTGTAAGAGCGGTTTTATGACAAGCACTACTGGTATACTAGCCTGAAAACAATTTACTATAATAATATGATTATTTTTGCTTTTTTTGCCACAGAAGATAGTTTAACATAGCAATTTTGCTAAAAGTTTTATTCCTATTCACCGTTTAAGATATGAATGAACTAAAACAAAACTGAATTGTTTTCATCTTAAAATTAAAATAGCTTTTAGAAAAGTTGAAGTTTAGTTTCGCAGTTCGTGGCATTACCAGAAAATTGTTACCAGTAGCCTGTAATACTCATAAAAGCTGAATTCATTTTTTTTAGTTTAAGAATATGGATTACAACAATCAACACACTTTGAATATTTGATTCCATTAACTCGAGCTGAAACTTTTAACATTTGAGTTTTTATATTATACATCATTCTATCTCATGAGTTTTGCCACTTTTTCACGGAAAAAAACCGACAACTGCATTCAGAATTATGCTCTTGTTTTGCGTTCAGTTAAAACGAGTTGAAACGAAATGCGTTAGTAACTTGGAGATTAATTATTTAAAATCACACGAATCACATGAATGAAAATTATTGCCGCGCCAATAGAACAAAAGCAAAGGTTTCGACAGCCGAATTTGCACATTTCTTAACATAAACTTCGTTTTTTTTTGCGTGTGGTGAGAGCGACTGAAAGCTAGATTAATAGGTCTTAACTGGCCTCAATTTTCCTCAGTTTTTTTTTCAAAAAATGAAATACAAAAACGAACACAGTTTTTTTTTGTTTTTTAATTACAAATTTTTGATATCTGGTAAGCCCCAGCTGCGTTTTTCGCGGTATTTGCCGACTTTATTCGCTCTAAATCATGCTAAAAAGCAAAATTTCAAATCTCTTTTAAATCTGATTAAATCGACCCTAGCCATTCAATCACTGCAGAGAGGGCTTTCAAATGATTTATCATTTGATTCCATCTGATGTTTTTTAGTGATATCTGACTTTGCGTGGAAAAATTAAAGAATCTACCAAAAAATCGGACTACTAGTTATTCCATGCTTCGATGTCGTCTAATTTTAACCTTTAACATGTAGAATGACACTTTTGGTAAAAATTTCCATAAAAAATTAAATTCTCGAGCAAGCAGTTTGAGTTTTTGGGGAAAACTGATGTCCAAAAAAGTATATTTTCTTTCGTTCACATCAATTGCGGGATAAATTAATTACAATAAAATTTCAGGGCAAATTACTTTTTTTCAAACGATTTAATCTAGATAAAGGAGGGTTCAGAAAATATACAAACAAACTCTGGTCTTAAAATTAATTAAGCTTCTGGGTAAAGTTGTCTTTAGTTTTGAATTTTCAAGCTGATGTTGAAGAGCTAGGCGGAGCTACTACTGTTGCCGCTGTCTCAACAATTGGAACTATTTCATCTTCGATTTCACATCCAATCTGCACTTTGGCTGCCTTCGGGTGATTGTCTGACTTTGAATTGCTTTTCCGCTCTGCTGGATTAGATCCAATAATTTCGCTGGGCATGTGGGATAATTTGTGATGTTTGGACTCATTTTTGCCCATAGTGTGGCCATTTAGAGTGTTGGGTCCAGCTGTCAATCGTCGGGTGACATTGAGGTTCTTGCCTTCTGGATCTTTATACAGTTGGGCTATTTTGGGTAGAAATATGACGCAGATGGTGATGGCCACGCAGAATACTTTGATGGCTGTGAGTAGTAGGTAGTGCATGGATGAGTCGGACTTGACGGCGAATGAGGCGAGCAGTCCGAAGCCAGAGAGGATGATGGTGTTGTAGATGGAGATCCCGATACTCCTGCTGTCGTTCAACTCCTCAATGTGCACGTGTCTCGTCTCATATGCTAAATAAACATCACAATCCACAACAGACATTCAAATTACGGTTCATTGATTGTTAATCGCAAAACTGATAGCCTCACTGGAAAACCATCCACGTATAATCCATAGTACATTTTCTACTTGGTGTTTCTTTTAATTGATGGTGATTGCGCGTAGCTAAAAAAATGAGTGACCTTAGGACAAAAATTGGATCTACTTAACAATCTCCCCCCCCCCCTATTGTATGTACTAAAGAATCTCCCCCCCCCCTATTGTATCTACTAAAGAATCTCCCCCCCCCCCCCCTGTCTTGAAAGGGGGGGGGAATTGTTAAGTAGATCCCTGGGGGGAGATTGTTAACAAAAATTTCTGGTAAGTTAATAGTTTTTCTAGCTAAATTTATGTGAAACTTTAAACATTGACATTGATGATGATGAAACCCTCGTTGTCAAGATTTGAAACGAAGTTTCACGGGCCAGTGAACATTGCGCACTAAAACCCGTTAAGAAAAACTTAATAATTTTACAAATGCTTTGCAAAATAATTGGCGACGGTTTTTTTTGCTGAGGTCGACCTTTTAATAGAAAAATTCACTAAAGCAGCATTTCAGTGAATTGGAAACTGCCTGGGACACTTAGTCTGGGACTGGGAGTGATGGTCCCAATAAAAAAATTACATCAAAAAAATTAAAATATTAGTAGCTACAATTGTTAGATGCGCACTATAACGCTAATACCGAGGGGATGGGCAGTAGAGTGAAGCAGTGCGAAGCAAGTACGCATTTGTGATTTACGGCTAGTTGTTTAAAATTAGTTTTTCTTCACTTGACTAGTTGTTTTGGTCTGGTTAAACTTGTATTCCCCTACTTAGCGCCTCATACAAAAGAAGGAAAGTAAATCAAGTAAGTTTAAAGTTATCGAAATTAGAGAGAAACGACCAAAAAAATGGAAGCAATACTGGCTGGAGAAAAAACTCATTCCAGTAGCCTGGCTGACGGCTAACGCGTTCCGTCACAAACTGTCAGGCATTACCACAAACAGTTTGTCTTTTGGTTTTTCCAAGTACGCAATACATGGAGTGCGGTCTGTATTTAGACAACCGCGTATTCATACTCGTCAGTAAGCAGACAATTACCATATTAACCAATCAGAATCGAGATGGGAAAGCAAATTTACGAAATAAAAAATTATTAATTATTCATTTCTTCCTTGTCACGATTCTGATTGGTTAATACAGTATTTGTCTAATTACTGACGAGTCTGAAAACGCGGTTGTCTAAATACTGCTACGTAACCGCAATACATATTATCTCGATTACATTCGGCCTATGTTATAAGTTTATTTAATCGCCAAGATCAAATATAAAGCTATGGTGATTTAACCGGCCAAAATAAATAGACAGTATATTGAAATGCGCTTTTCGTCAATCGAGTCAATCGAGTTGACATTAGGCAAAAGCAGGTTTTAAAAATGCTTGAACAAATGCAAAGTTTTTTTATGTTGCTGTGTTCTTTAATTATGACGAAAGTGACGAAATACTTGTGCTCGGAAAATTTTTTCTCCAGACAAAACTTTGCTTTTTTAACTAACTGATTTTGACAAAATTTTTCTTTATCCTTCAAAAATTGTTGTTGTTTTGAGCCCAAAATTAATTTTTTTAAACCTGTGATCATTTTATGTAAAAATATGGCGGTTTAAAAATTGCCATTTTGGCCAATTTGAGATAGTTAACGCGCGATATATTTCTGCTAATAACGCGTCAGTGAATATTTAATCCTTCTGAGAAATTGTTCCCAAATGAACTGAGATATGCTGTTCGGTCCAGTCCATCTAACATTTTGCGAAACATATTAGTTTGTACTTTAAAAAATGTGTGAGGGAAGACTTTCAAATAAATCTCAAAAACGTATCGCTCAAAAAACGTTTGACTAAATTTTCTATTTTTAAAGCGAAAACTACTCCATAGATTTCAAAACTCAGTCGAAATGTTTAAGGCTTTGCCTTAATACAAAGTGGTTTTTTTTTTTCAAAATAAAACAAAATTTCTTGCGCAGTTTTTCGGTAACAAGTATAGCCTAAGTTTTTTTGTTCCGACTTTCGATACGAAAGTAACGGAATATTTGTGCTCGGGGTGGGTTTTTTTCTTCAGACAAATTTCGACTTTTTAACTAGCCAATTTTGACGGAATTTTTTTATATCATTGAAAAGGTATTGTTATCTTGAGCTTAAATTTGAACAAATATTTCACCTGTGATCATTTTTGGTAAGGTTATGGGGATTTAAAGATTGCCATTTTGGCCATTTTGACCAGTTTGGGACAATTAACGCGCGATATGATTCGCGCTATTAACGTGTAAGCGGATATTTAATCTGTCTTATAAATCGTTCCAAATTGGTTGTACGAAGCTTATGTGCCATAATTGATTTGTTACAAGGAACGAAATCTATCTTTTTGTACTTTATAAGGCGTGTGGGGTGATGATTTTCATAAAAAATTTCAAATTTTAGAGAAAAAAAATTTTCATTTCATTTTATTTCTATTAATTTTTTATGTTATTACTGCTGCTCCATAAACCTTAAAAGGCAGTCGGAACATTCAGGGCTTCGCCCTGATACGAGCAGTCTTGTTTGGTTTCGTAACATGCTGAGCTTTCGAGACCATACGGACCATACCCCGTATATTTTTTTCGTCATAAATTTGGTTGGCTGAAAGGAGCCTAGAAAAGACTTATTTGAGGTAAAACTCTGGGGCCAAACGTCGCAAAATGAATTTCTCCGAAAAAATTCTAATAAAAAATAGTGATGATTTTTTGATGTCTAATTTCAACCCTTTTTCTAAAAAACAACCGTGTTTAAAAGCTCTGTTTTTTATTTCGTTCTAGCCGAATAATTTAACTCATAGCTCTGTATTCTTGTTCGTAAAATCAACAGACCTCGAGTTTTTCAGCTTTTTTGGCGAAATTTAGACGAATTGTAGAAAAATTAGCAGCTGTGCAAATGTCATTGATCTGACTTTCAAAGAAAGGATGGAAAACAACTTTTGTGAGCTTCGGTTTTTTTTTTTTACTGTGCACTTCTGAACGGAAGGTTTTGATGCCTTCTAATTTACCAACGTTCTGAGCTAACAAAGTATTTTTCACCTTTGCTCATTTTTTGAAGATACTGGGGGTTTCAAAGCTGCCGATTTGGCTAATCTGGAACAATTAGCGCGCGATGTGTTTCGTGCAAAAAATACATAAGCGGCAATTTATTCCTGCTCAGAAATCGCTTCAAATTAACTTGAAGCAAGCTTTTTGACTTAATAATGCGGTACTAGACGCTAACTTGTTCTTTACGTGCCCTTAAAGGCCGTCGGATTTTTAAGTACTCTGTCTGATACAAGCAGTCTAATTTAATTGGGCAGCAGTGAACGATGTCGTAGTAGCTGTGATAGTACCAATAATGGGTCTTCGGTCAGACTTAAACGATCCTCAACGAGGTTAAAAAAATAGAGTGCAGCGTTTCCTTGGATTCCTCCGTGTAAATATGTTCAAAAAGACGAATCAATCCATGTCCGAAGACCCCGAGATGGATATTTTAAACTGATTTTCCTGTGGAAAATTAATCTAGGCCATTTTGAAAATACTATTTTAATTTGTTTTAGTAATTTTAATAGAAGAACTTTCTTGCTTAATCAACTGCACATGGTTATTTTCTTAAACTAATTATGATTAAATGATGAAATGTAGTTTCTGTAAAAAAAACAGCTCTACAAATGTGCCTACAGTTACGCAGTATTTTGTTCAGCTCGTTAATTTAGTTTTCATTAAAAATGCGCACCAAAAAATACAAATCATGACAATGAAAAGATGACAATTGCCGGTTTAAAAAATTCAACAAAATACACTCAATGGCCAACTACGCGTTTAAAAAAAAACAACTGATTTTAAATCCTAGACAAGAAATTTAAAGATTACCCTACCTCAGAAGTTCCCAAAAAACTCGCATTGTATTGATCACTTTTTCACGGCTGCAGTTTTTACTGTCTAGTCAGTATGTAATGAGGAGAGGATCCAAAATGAGTACCTGTCACTTACCGAGGAATGCCCCATATAGTAGGACGAATGCCTTGATGGTGATGAAAAGATAGGGAAACACTGTCATTTGAGATACACACTGCACTGAGATCCACTGGATCTCCAACACCCTCCCGGCCCCTTCATCGCCATCAACATTCGCCTTCTCTATCACTCTCTCTGGAAATAAATTTAACTGCAATTTTTAGCATTTTGGGTATGACAGAGTAGATGAAATTCGAGGTTCCTAGATAATATTCAAGGTTCCTTGTTGGATATTTGTGCAATATTGTTCATGACACATGGGATATTTCCTCTAGAATAAAAACTAACTTCTATGCAGTCAGTGAAAGTTGATGAATTTTTCGGAATATTTGGATACGGTTATCTTTATCATAACCAGAAAATTACCTTAACCGTCTAAGATACATGACTAAATGCTGTTTACAGGGGAGGATCTAGGATTATCTCGAGGAGGGCGGTTTTCAAAAATTTTTCGAAAGTTTTGTCGACTTTTTATAGTGGACCAAATTGATTTTCTGGGCTCTCCCAAATCCCTATAAATACTCCACTTTCACCAAATTTTCTGCGCCGCAGGCAAGTTTTTGAACAAACAGGCCAAAAGGTGGTTTTTTCCATGCACTTTCTGGAAAATTTTGACCAAAAAATTGCGTTTTTCGGCGCGCGCTCCCCCCTTAAAAATTAGTTTTTATTGGCGCCAATGGCGCCTTTAGAAAAAACTTAAGGTACCTCACCAAAAATAGATATCTCGAAATAGTACAAACGGGGGACCCTTTGGGTCGGCAGGGGGTCAAATCCCTGGGGGGGGGGGGGCGTCGGCTCCCTAAATCCGCTACTGACTGTTTATCAGATTTTGTAATCAGCCGGGATTTTAAAACCATCATAAATGTATTGTTGTATTGAGCTTAATGTTTAAAAAAATTTCACCTGTGATCATTATGGGGGTTTAAAGATTGCATATTTGGCATTTTTAATACCATTACGAGGCCAAACTTGTGCACAATTTAATGGTTTTAGGTCTTTGCAATCGAGAGACAAGTCTTGAAAGTAAAAATTCTGTTGGAATAATCAAAGAAAACGAAAGAACAAAAGAAGGTCAAAGATAGCGTCCTTATTGCTGAATCCGCTCACAATTCACAAAGTACACAATTTGGCCTCATTATGACCATCTGAAAAACATTGTTGTAATGAGCTCAGTATTAAAAATGTTTCAACTGTGACCTTTTTAAATAAAATTATGGGAGTTAAAATTGGCATTTTTGCCAATTTTGGACAATAAACGCGAGATATATTTCGTCCAATTAACGCGTAAGCAGCAATTTAATCCGAAAGAGAAATTGTTCCAAATTAGGTCTACTTATGGTTTTTGTTCTATTTAGCGTGTGGCAGGGTAGTTTTCGAACGAGAATTTCGTCATTTTCTTATGTTTGAGCAGTATTCTCTAGACTTTAAAGGCAGTCAGACTATTGAAAAATTGCTTTGATACAATCGGTCTTGTCTATCTTTTAGGTTTTTCTGTTAGATTTCTATTCCAATTTTTGCAGAAGTGTCGAAAATTTATGCTTTTGGGTTTTTTTTATTCGGTCAGTTTCGACTTTTTAACTACTCATTTGTATACCATCTGAAAGATATTGTAGTCTAGAGCCCTAACTTTCGAAAACATTTCATTTATGTTTTTTAACAAAAATTTTAATGGTTAGAGCTTTGGATTACTTTGACGACTATAATTAAAATTGGATTAATGAACGCGCAATACATTTCGTTATTTGAAAGCGTAAGCGGCAAATAGCACCCTTCCAAATTGAACTGAGACAAGCAATTTGCTCTTATTGATACATTAACCACACGTACGCAAAATAAACCACTTGGTTACTTTACATAGCTTGTGGGGGAATAAATTTGAGGAAAAAAATGAAGAACAAAATCAAATTTTTCTCATTTTTTTCAAAAATTTCATAAAACTTTGCAATGAAAAGTTGATATTGACGGCAGAGAGCAATTGGAAAATATACGAGCATTTTTTTTTCAATTTGAAGCGCATTAGTTTACCACTTACGCGTGTTATAAGAATGTATAATATTGCGCGTTAATTATCCTAAGTTGGCCAAATTGTGATTCTTATGTGATTTTTTTTACACTTGAGCTCCAGAAAACAAGATCTACCAATATCTCTAACAAAATAAAATTATTTCGTCAAAACTCTTAGGTAAAAAGCAGAAGTTTCACTGAGTGAAAAAACCACCCCAAGCATAAATATTCCGCTTTTCTTCGAAAGAGCAAAAGTGCATATTCGCGGCTCTCTTTCTTACTTTTGCGTAAACATAAAACTCATGGGTTTTTAAGAAGATATTGTACAAATTTGTGAATGAGGACTAAATGGATCTGAGTGATTACCTTGCCTGGCGAGTTCCATCAACATTGGTGTTTATATGAAATGGTGTTTAGGTTCCATCAGCATAATGGTGTTTATATGAAATATCGGCTCTTTTTACCATTTCCCCCACCTGTTATTTAAACTACATGAGTTACGTTCACATCAACAGAGACAGCAGAGACATTTTGGCATACGTAGTAACTATTCAATTCAAATAACATTTGGTATGCGTACAAAACCTTCTAAATCGATGATTCGTTTTCGTCATGTTGGGGGGGGGGGGGGGGGTCGAAAAGCCGCTTATAACTCTAGTATTTTTGTGCCCATATTATTAGTTACCAATGGAACCCATGTTTTCCTGCAGCCCCAATGGTGACACGAACATCCACAGCAGAAGAAACAGAACTTCACAGCAGGTGAACCCCAGCACAAACATCAACAGCTGCTGGTCACGCACTCTCACATTGCCCCCACTCTTCGTTCCCTACAAAAAAGGGGCTGTTTTCCTGACAAAGATCCGATGGACAGAACACTCCTAACCAATCAAAACTCTCCAAATACATCGTTTTAATTTTAACTTTTTAATTTTACATAATACAAGGACATTTTATTATGATATCTAATTAAAAGGATATTCGTTATGCTGATAGGCCCACACATATTTTAACAGAAGTGCTTAACATTTGACTCTGAAAACAGATAGAAACTTCATGTTGTTTGCTACTTTTTCGCACATGGGATGCCGCAAGTGTCTGACAAGAGGTCAAACCAAAAGATTAAATTCTTTCCAAGTAGTGCAATTATTGGCACTAATACGAATAGTCATAATTTATATTTAGAAATCAAAAGTCGCAGAGATTTGATCAAAGTTTCGTTTAAAGTTTTTTTTTCTTTTAACGCTCTGTTTTTGCTGTATCGTTCAAATTTTTGTAAGTTCATTTTCTTGTATGTCTAAAAGCGGAACTTTTACGCCAATTTTGATGTTTTTCTTCTGTAAAAGTTGGTGACAACTTTTGAAGAATGCATTCGAGTAAAACTAGGAATTTTTTTCCTAAATTCATCGTTCCTTTCTTTGTTCAAAAATTGCCATTTTTCAATCTTTTAAGAACAATACATGACAAAACCCTAGTTTTTCGACTGTCACCAAATAAGAGAAAGATTCATTTTTTTTAAATCATCAGATCAATTAATTAGCTTGAACTCAATTTCAAATAATTTTTTGAGCCAGATAAACTCACTGACTACATAAAAAATTTGACATGGAAAACTTTACGCAAAAAAAAAACATTTAAAATTCTACTCACAATGAACTTTCTCAGTTTTTAAGCATTGTACATTTTTCAAAAACTCGTAACAATGTAGAAAATTGAGAGCAGTGAACGCATTTGTAATATCCAATCAAGCGCAACCAATGTTTTGATCTCTACCGTATACGCAAAATTACAAACTAAATAAGTAGAAAAAAAACCTTACACTTAAAACGTTTCAATGCGCACATACTGATTCAAAATGGCTGCTGGTGGACTAAATCCTCCAGGGCGAAATCCCATCGGATAAAATCCCCCAAGATCAAATCCTCTAGAACAGAATCCAGTTTAAAATCCCCCTCATTGAAACTGAACAAAAATGCGACACTAAAAGTTAAACTAAAAGATAATTAACAGAAAAAAAAATAGATTAAAGACTAAAAACTAAAAGGACAAGTTAATAGCTATGGCTTTGAGATAATCCAATTCTTTCTAAAAAGTGGCAGAGCATATAATTCTCTTTATCCTCCCACAGCTATCTTTCTTTCATTTTTTTCGCCGAGTTTTATTTGAGAGAATTAATTTAACGTTTCCAGTGATTGCTGCCTCTGAATGGCTTCAATAATTTTTTCTCACTCGTTTTTTTTCCAAATACCACCTTCAGCCATCATTTTTAATAATACTACGTTTCTTTCAAAAACACGACGTTGATTTTAAAATACTAACATCAATTGTAATGTTTTATAATTTTTTAATAATTGGATTTTGTGTTTGGTCACAAACTTGTCGGAACAACATTATGCATCAAATTTTTTCGAAACCGTTTTTTTTTGGCTCGTATTTTTATGCTTACATAAATTTCGGCTCAGCGTAAAAATTAGCAAATAAAGTTCCAAATAATTAGTTTGAGCTCGCAGATATATATATTTTAATATTGACCTCAAGCAATCGACATCTCTAATTTGGTAACGATAAAAAAATTGCCAAAGGTTTTATTTTGATAATTAAAGTTTTTTTTTGCGAAAACAAAGGGAACAAAATTGTCTCTTTTTCTTTTAAAATTTGGATCAATTAGGAAACTGTAAGGCAAGTTTATTCCCCGAAGAATGCAAGTAATTCGGTTGAATGCCAATTTGATAAACATTAGAGAGGATGTCAGAACATTCGTGCCATATCTTGAATTTTTTTTTAAAGTTGTTCTTTGCGCATTCAAAATGATGGAAAACGAGAAATTAAACAACTTAATCAATCAAACCGGTTTCCCTTCAGGTGAAAATAGGCTTTCATAATTGAACAAAACAAAACGAAATTGACGAACGAAAACACGTTTTATATTTTAATTGCCTTTTCTTTCAATCTATTAATTGATTTACATTTAATTCAATTTTTTTGAACACGGCCTTACGGTCAAAATATAGGCTAATCACACTTCAATTTCTGCAATTTAAGAACTAAATAACAAGTTTGCAACTCATCTGCAGATTTGGTTGAAGATGTTTACTTTCAAAAAATGTCTGAAATAACATCGATCTTAACATTAATATTAGCTAAGTTTGTAATTTCGGTAGTCATAAGGCTGAAATACCCGGTCTGTGAATATCTTGTATATCCTCCAAGTTTTGCTGAAGAGGGATCCGTAGCCGAGAGTGAAACCGAGAGAGACGAGACACAGCTCTACCCGACAACAAACCGAAAGAATGTTTCGGTCAGTCGTGAATGCACTGGCAGATGACAACACAGTCGACGTGTAGATCAAAATCGATCCCAGCAGGATTAAGTTATTAATTGTGGGTGACGTCATCTGAAAAAATGTAACAGCTGAAAATGAAGTCTTTTGATTAAATTCGACTTTTTGTGTTTTCGATGAAACAAAGTTGCTTACAACGAGACAATTACAAAGCTTAACTTTTCATTTAAATTAAACTGTAAGGTCTGACATATATTTTAGAAAAATCCCAAAAAAACAATATGGAAAAAAATTCAGAAAAAATGTGCACTTGTTGTTATTTCTTCATATTTAAAAGTTCGTCATTGCTAAAAGTTTTTATTTAATCGCAAAACCATCTTTGGCCGCTCTTCCAATTTGTTGCGGAGCTTTTTTTGGGTCGATCAAACACTAGAAAGACCTTGTTTTGACCATATGTTCAGGGCCACGCGAAATTTTTTGGAAAAAAAAAACAACTCATAAAATTGGATGCCAAAAATAATAAAGGGGGGGGGACCTTTTGAGGGTGTTTAAAGGAGGGACCTTTTGGTAAGGGGGTCTAAATTAACCCCTGCTTGAGACCTTGGTAGTTTAAATACATCTTTTGTTCTTGATGGTATTGCTGATTGCTTTGGTATTTCAACTGAAACTAACCTTGATGAGCTTCTGGTTTCTGAAGTGGAAGTTGAATACTAATAGGGCCACACACAGCACGGTCATGATGAGACAGGCAGAGTTGCCACACAGGGCCATGACCAGTCCAATCTGCTCAGTCTCATTCCGACGCACGACTTCCACGCGCACTGTATGGTCTTGAAATAAAAATGTCATAGTTTTCTGATTTTTTTTCTAACTGGTTGGTTGTTTTCTGATAGCTACCGAGATCATTGAAGAAAACTGAATTGGTTTTGGTTTAATTAACTATAATGAAGTTAATGAAGGCAGCAAAAATTTAGACCAGTTTTTCTGGAAACTGAGACAATTTTTTTTTGGTAACAGGTTCACGGCTGAAAAGGCTTCAAAATGATGGAAAACGTGATTACATACAAGCTTTTCTTGAGTTGGTCAAAATCAGGCAAAAAAACAGGCTAATTCATATTTCATTTTTTAACTATGCTACCATATCGGCCGACTCACCCTTAATTCCTTGTGAATGCGCCTTTGGCGTCAATGCATACTAATTTAGAGGAAAGAGAGCGCGCCAAAAAACGCAACTTCTCAGTAAAAACTTTTGCTAAATTTGCCTGACGCGCACAAATAAAGTTTTTAAAGAGTTTTGGAAAAACTTGGAAAACCAATTGAAAATCCGCCCAATGTTTTTCAGCCTGTCAACATTGGCTCATTCTTTTCTAGATTGCACATGCGTACCGAGTATCTGTGTGGAGTTTTTCCAGTCTCTCCAGTCAAAATCCTCCTTGAGAATGACTTCATCCTCTCTGGCAGTCAGCAGCTGTCTCGCATCTGTCCAGTTCTGGAAATAGAACGCCCTCACCTGGGGGTACTTGGTCTGGTAGTCCTCCAGCCCCACCCTCCCCGAAACTCCCTCGAACTCAATCCGGTGCATCTGGCCAAACACTAGGTCAGCCCACTCCCCCTTGCATTCATCGAGGGGGGAGGCAGTTGCAGTGGAATCTGATGTAGTGGTAGTGATACCACAACGAGACTGCACGGCCTCTACCGCCAGAGACATTAACCATACACAGTCATAAGCTAAAAGAAAAGATTCGAATAATGGTTTTGATTTAGTTGTCTATAGTGTAATTATTTGTATGTCCAAAAACTAAAATAAAGGAAAATTTTTAGTTCTAACAGTATGTATGCATATCGGACTACAAATAGCTTCTAATTTTTGTGGACCTCGTTTTTAGCAGATTCGAAGTCTTTTGAAGAAAATTCGAATGTTAAATCTCGTGTATTTTCATTTATCCTCCCCATGAAGCATTTATTTGCTCACCAGGAAAAATCGCATGTAAATAAAACAAGACTGCTCGTATCAGGGCGAAGCCCTGAATGTTCCGACTGCCTTTTAAGGTTTATGGAGCAGCAGTAATAGCATAAAAAAATTAAATGAAATAAACTAAAATGAAAAATTTTTTTTCTCAAATTTGAATTTTTTTGAAAATCATCCCCCCACACGCCATGTAAAGTACAAAAAGAGAAATTTCGTTCCTTGTAACAAACAAATTATGGCAAATAAGCTTCGTTCAACCAATTTGGATCGATTTATAAAACGGATTAAATCTCCGCTTACGCGTTAATAGCGCGAATTATATGGCCAAAATGGCCAAAACGGCAATCTTTAAACCCTCATAACTTTACGAAAAAGGATCAAAGGTGAAATATCTTTTCAAATTTAAGCTCACGACAACAATACCTTTTGAATGATATAAAAAAATTCCGTCAAAAATGGCTAGTTAAAAAGTCGAAATTTGTCTGAAGAAAAAAAAACCCACCCCAAGCACAAATATTCCGTTACTTTCGTACCGAAAGTCGGAACAACAAGACTGCTCGTACCAGGGCGAAGCCTTGAATGTTCCGACAGCTTTTAGTGTTTAAGGAGCAGTAATAACATTTAAGAAATTAAATGAAATAAAACAAAATGAAAATTTTTTTTTCTAAAATTTGATTTTTTTAAATGAAAATCATCCCCCACACGCCATATTAAGTACAAAAGGATAGATTTCGCTCCTTGTAACAAATCAATTATGGCAAATAAGCTTCTTTCAACCAATTTGGAACGATTTCTAAGACGGATTAACTCTCCGCTTACGCGTTAGTAGCGCGAAATAGATCGCGCGTTAATTGTCCCAAATTGGCCAAAATGACACTTTTTAAACCCCCGTAACTTTAGGAAAAATGATGACAAGTGAAATATCTTTTCAAATTTAAGCTCAGGACAACAATACCTTTCGAATGATAAAAAAAATTTCGTCAAAAATGGCTAGTTAAAAAGTCGAAATTTGTCTGAAGAAAAAAAAACCCACCCCGAGCACAAATATTCCGTTACTTTCGTATCGAAAGTCGGAACAAAAATAGTTTGAAAGTTTATTGCCTTTAAAATTACGGCTCAATTCACGACTGAATATAAAAGCCTTGAGCTCTATTGGCTGTCAAAAATGGCAACAAGGCTTCCCCATTTGAAAATTATGCTTCAAATTGTGACATGCTTTGTCAAACCTAATCCCTTCTCTTTTCTTCGCTTTCAGGATAATTAACAAAAAAGCACTTATTGACGTCCAAATTCTCCCATCAATTGTGAAAACATAAATCTTAAAAAGCAAAACCCTGATTCGGAAATTCAAATCGATCCCTGGGAAACCTGATTCTGGGGAGCCTAATGGCACAAAAAGGCAACCTGGAACAATTTTTTCTAGGCGTCGCAAAATTCAAGAGGCCTTATACCTTATATGGAAATAAGAAAAAATTGAATCTCTCAAGGTTAAGTTTCACCCCTATATAATATTTCTTTTGCGAGGGTGAGGTGATTCATCGACTCTTGTGTAAGATAGGCCAGAAATATCTTCTGAGATCTCTTGAAACCCCACTAAACCCCTCGTAAGGCAAAACAAACGGACAGTCAAATTAATGAGAAAACCAGCAAACAAGGCAGTTCTTAATCTTTTTGAAAAAACTGTGGCCCAAAAAAGTGGTCAAAAATGGCACTAGGAGCCAGCTAAAACTGGAGGCACTTATTGATATTTCTTGAATAGGTTGTATTGATGCGGAATACGAAATGCGTAAGTTATTGCAGCCACTAGAGTCTCTTCGTTGTCACCGCTTTTTTGGCATAAAATTGAAGCTGTTCTCCGCAAACACGAGTGAGAAAATTAGCTTTCAAATAAAGAGATGAGAAGAAAAAAGGTAAAAATAAGCTTTCAAAACGAAAAACTATCCACCAGTAAAACAGCTACATATGCTTATAATTTTCCAATAAAATGCTGCAAAAATTGCACCAAATATAAGTAAACACATTTTTTACAAGTAATATTTTGGACTATAACAAACTAAAGTCATTTACTCTAATTGTCGTATATCAATTGGAAAAAAAAAAAAAACCAAACAGGAACGCTTGTATCAGCGGGAAGCTCGGTCTGCTTCGACTGAACTGCATTTTAACCTCTATCGGGTAGTGCTCGCTTTTTGCTTTTAAAATAACTGATTAATTGTTCAAAACAAATTCAATTTTTTTTCAGGATTTTTTTTAAACCAAAAACCATTCCTCACACTCTGTGCAACATACAAAATGATATATTTCTCATATGGCAAAGTACTATCTAGACTAAATAGCATGACGTAATTTAATTTGGAACGATTTCTAGGACAGATTAAAGGCCTGCTTACGCTTTACTAGCACATAATATATCGTGCGTTAATTATCCCAAATTGGCCAAATTTGCAAAATTTAAGCCCCTCTAAAGTTACAAAAAATAAAATAATCTCAGGTGAAATAATTTTCAAAACTTGAGCTCAGGACAATAATTTTTTTGAGATGATGAAAAGTTTTGTCCAATATTCTAAGTTAAAAAGTCAAAATTTGGGTGCAGAAAAAACAAACCCCGACCATATTGTTCCGTTGCTTTTTTCGAAAGTTAAAAAAATTAACGCATAAAATGTATTGAATTAAAACATTTCTGAAACTCAATTTTCAGTTAATTTACTGCGTTTCAAACAAGTTGGATTATTTGAAATAAAATTGCATCACTTGTGTTAACTTACTTCTAATCGTATAACAAAGCTTATGCTATCAAAAAGCCGTTAAAATATTACCAAAAATAGCACCATTTTTTGCGCTTTAGTTTAGTAAACAATAAGTAATATTATAATACGCTCGCTAAAGTTGGCTTGGATAAAATCAAAAACTTCTGCGTAAAGTGAAAAAATTTTCCAAAATGTCTCAAAAATAATTCAAAAAAATAAGAAAATCGAATCCCATACCTTTTCATAATACCTGTTTTTATCAAACAGGAACTTCATTTTTTGTAAATTTGGCAAAATTTGGCACAATTTGATACCGTAAAATAATTCAAAAGTGGAGAGTGTCAATATCCTGAGGGTGTCGTCTTCTTAAATTAGCTAACGGTGTCAATATTGTTGAAAAAATTCTTCATAAAAAACGATAATAACATATAATAAAAAGTTCTTTTGTTATTGTACTTTTTATTTCTCTGTCGAAGTGGTTGACATTAATTAGGGGGAGGGGAGAAGAATTAATGTCGAAATTTGAGACATGGTGATTTTGTTTTCGATAAACTGAAGGGTCGAGTTTGACAAATATTAAACCCACCCAGCAGATCCCAGGAGGGGTTGCGACTGGCAGGGAGCTTGATATCCATTTGGGCCAGTCGGGTCCCAATTCTGCCAATTATTTGAGAGGAAGAAAAACCGGATCTGGTGTTACCTCCTGAATTTTCACTCTTGCTCCACTCCTGCACGTCAATCAGAGGGTTGGAGTCATATACCAGCTAGAAATCATTAATTGCTGACGGTAACATTAGTATGACCTAAAGTAATTTAATAGGTCTTTAATCTGAACTGATTACTTCTGATGACTGACCTAGAAAAAAGTCTGAACCGATTTTTTTGCACAGTCAATCATCTGATCATTATCACGTTTTCTTACTTCACTGGCTTCAAAAAATATTTATTAAACATTTATAAAGTTATGTAGTTTTATTTCATTTTGCACAGAAAACCTGCGGCTTAGTGTGTAGATCTAAAATTCAACTTCAAAAGTTAGGCGGAAAAATGTCGATGTTGTATGAACCACTGATTGTCTGAACGACAATAATAGTCAATAAGTTATAGTGTGGCAATAATCGTTGGTACAACTAGAAAAGACGGTTCTCGTTCCTTTTCCCACCTGCAAATTTTCCAAGTAAAATGTTTGTTCACATTGTCGGATTGTTCTGAAAATTGACATCCGGACCATTTAAGCCATATCAAACAGATTTGGTTTTCATATTTAAACTTGCAAAACCACTCGTTATCACCATTAAAATGATTATCGTGCAGGGCGGGGGGGGGTATAAGGAAGAATCGAGAAGACTAAATTTAAAAGCTTTCTTTTTTCCATGTTTCTTATTTTCGAGAAAAACCTCTGATTTTAAGGATGTATATAATTCTAATTCAATAACTTTCTTTCTGAGCCTCGAACAATCCAGAATAAACTCTACCTGTATTTGTTCAGGAGTGCACGACTGGTTGACTTGTGCCTTGATGATGTGCCAGAGCCATGCATCCACGAACCAGACATTCGAGCCTCCCATCAGTCCCATTTCAGCTGCCAGACAGAGAACCTCCCAGTCCGAAGTAAGGAGGAGGAAGAAGACGTGGATGTCGTGGTCCAGGAACACCTGCAGTTGGCGTCGGATTGCCTTGGGAGAGAGACCGTCCTGCTGGATCACACTGGCGACTAGTCCACCCTCCATCACCTCTGAACACACATTTAGGCCAAAATAAATGATGTTTCCTTTGAATTTTATCTTTTTACAATATGATTTTTAGAGAAGCTTTTTGAGGTTCGAATGTTGGAGTGGCAAAGGTTGTTGAGTTTGCAACATTTATCTTCGAGTGTAATATCAACCAGCACTGAGAAAGAAACAATTTTACATCGATTTAATTTCATGATTTGTGTCAACTATAATAGAATCTATTTGAAGTTTTCCAATAAGTAGCACAAAAAAAATATAATATTATCATAATAGAAAAACTTAAATATTTTATTAGTATAAAAAGTTTCGGTACCTGTTCATGATAATTTTTGCCTCTTATCTGTTGTCGATATTAGTCGTAATTGAAAGCCCTAGATAATGAAGAGTGTTAGGACTTTCTCAGAAATATTAGTTTGAATTAAATAGTCGGGATTGGCATGGTACATAGTTTTCGCTATTTGGCTCATTATGGCTACCTACTGTGACAAAACTTTTTTCATACCTACTGCAACATTCGTGTCTTAAAATTCTTCCTTGCTTGAGTCGCCCTGGTAAGCATAAAGATATGGTCAAAATTACCCCCAAATCTATAAACATTTTCAATCAATGAAAACTCAGTTATTAACCTGTGCAAAATTGTAGAAAAACTCAGTCACATAATTTTGGTAACCGTTACAACTCGTGAATCACCGAATCATCAGTAATACACGTGACAGAGATATCCGCATTGTCTGTATCAATATGTAAGAAGAAAGAATTGGACCAGTTCTTGTTCAAAAACTGGGGAAACTTTATACTCTCACCCAAAATACCCAGGGACAAGAAACCTTCGCTTTTCACTAGACTCTATAGAAAAAGACAACGCGAAAAATTTAACTACAGCACTGGATTTCCATCAATTAAAATTTGAGTTTTATTGTCACTGTCTACAGAAATGAAAAGTACTCTATTATAATCAATCAAAAAAGAACTATTTTACTATTACAAATAAAAAAGCATCAACGAGTTGGCTCGTAAGCAAATAACAAGACTGCTCGTAATAAACAATAGATAATAACATGCGCGAATCCCTGAATGTTCCTACTGCTTTTCTAAGTCTATGGAGATGTGCTCGCTTTGAAAAAAATGATGAAACATATATTTAAATTTAGATTTGTTTTGCAAAAACAATCACCCCACACGCTATGCAAAGTACAAAATAACGCATGTAGCGCATAGCTAAGTATTAAACAAATCAAATAGCATGCCTCATCTCAATTTGGAATGAATTCTAAGACGTACTAAATCTCCCCTTACGCGTTGATAACACGAAAAATATTGCGCAAAACTTATCCCAAATTGACCAATTGGCAACCCAAAACCATCAAAATTTAACAAAAAAGATCACATATAAAATATCTTTTTGAATTTAAGCGAAAACAAAAGTACTTTTCAACTGATACAAATTTTTTTAAAAAAGCTAGTTAAAAAATCAACATTTTTCTGGAGAACAAAAGCAACCCGAGCAAAAATATTACCTATATTTCTTCGAAAGGCGGAACAAAAGTTGCTGGCGGACTAAATCCACCAGGATGAAATCCTCTAGGACAAAACCCAACGGACATCATAACCCAGCACTAAATCCCCCATAGGACCAAATACTCCTCGGACAGTATCCCCTAGTTCTTAGTTTAAAATCTCTCCCATTCGAATTAAACAAAAATTAAACACGAAAAGTTGAATAAAACGATGACAAAAATTAACAGAAAAAAAACATATTGATTAAGTTTTCCTTCTATCTTGTGTAGTTTTTGTTCCGAGTTTTCTTGGAATTTTTTTTGAGCGGCGTTCGAGAGAAACTAAACGTTTGCAGTAACTGCTGCCTCTGAATGGCTTCAATGACTTTCCAAATATCAGGATTTGACATCTGAAGCATGGATTCCAAGCCACGGTGAAATCCTTCAAAAGCCTTGTTTGTCTTGGGGAGGTTGTCAATGGTCCTGCAAAAAAAAACATTCCACACATCCATGTCAATTAGAGATTCATCACCGGCCTAGTTTCAGATTCCTTTGCCTAAAAAGCTCTCCTCAAAATAGTTCTTGATGTCTTCAGCTTTTGCAGCTTTCGAGTGTTTGTTTTTACCATATGGTTCGAAAAGTTGCCACCCACAAAATTGATGCAAGCTATTTCAAATTCTATCACAACTGATTTGAGAGAAACTATTTCTGCTTTCAAGTTTAACCAGACAGCGTTACAGGTTTCCTGTAGTTTATCGGAGACAAGGGCATTTATACCTGAAAAAGTTGTTCAATCTACAAAGCCGTGGACAGTGTCTACTTGATGGAAGTTATCAGGACAGTTTTTTGAAAATTTCATCAACAAATCAGTTCCCATGAGAATTTGAGACTTCGATGTTTTCGTTAGTTGAGAACACAAAAAACTGTTTACCGCCTGTCGGAACCATCGAGTCTTCAAGGAGGATATTCTCTCCATTCATGTTTTACATGCTATAAACAGGCAGTTTGAATCGAGACTTGTTGAAATCGGTTGCTGGCTTCGGGTTTTGTGTCGGATTCTTCTGACCTTCCGTAATATTTGAGGCACAAACTGCATCTTTGAAGAGCACTTCAACGTTCACAATGTCGTTTTCGCTACTTAAACTAAAAATGCTAAACTTTTGAGAAGTCTTAAGTATAGAAATAGAATATGCGGTAAATTCGTTTTGCAAAAACTCTGCTTCACTCATTTTATAAATGCAAAAGTTTTGCACGACACGGAACAAAAATTAGGTGAAAAATCCATTTTATTCGATTTGATTGATAATAACTAATTTAAAATGTGACAAGAACAATTGATTACAATCGATTTTTTATTTCCTTTTGTTGTCTGAAGTCAACATAGAAATCAATTGATTTTTAAACTTTTTTCTTTGATGCGGTTAGTGGTTTTTGGTTTTGTAGGTGACCACTAGACTTGCATAAAACTCAATTGGCAATAAAGTTTGAAAACATAAAATTGTATCGACTAGCATCACTTTTTTAGCTTTACTTCTCGGAGATAGAAAACAACAACAATATCACAGTCAAAAAGAAACTCGCTTTTCTGAGAAATAGAAAACTGTACGCTTAAGAAATTAAGCAATCAAGAATCTAATGAAATCCTCAGCACAGAACTCAAGATCAGTCACATCCCGTCCTGTAATGGTTTGAACCAATCACTGATGAACGAGCAAATTGTGAAATCTATGATGAAATTGTGATTTTTTTGCATAGCCATTTTTAAATTTGATAGTCATCGGTTTTTATGATAGTTAATTCGATTTTCAAAGATATTTTAGGCTAGTCGAGTTTTATGCTATTCAATACACCGCCGTCGTGTAGAGTGCGGGAAGATATAGTCCTCATACTCGAAGATTCAAATTAATTGCTGAAAATTGTTTTGTTTTCCCGCTTCGTTCGTGCGGCGTCAAGGATTACTCTCCAATTGAATTTATCATATGGTATTCATTGTAGCACTTGATAAGTTTAACTTTTGGTGGGGAGGTGTTTTACAAATTCTCTCTGTTGTCCAAAAAGTAATCCGAATTTTTATTAAAAAGGCCATTGTCTCTAGCGATATAAGACCACCCTAAAATTGTTCTATATCTTGAAAACGCCATCGCCTTACCATAAAAAACGAAAACCTTTTGAGAAAGCAATAATGAAAAAACCATGGAAATGAACAAACCAAGAAAACTTGAACTAGTTTCAAACTGAGCTGCCAACGCGCTTCCATTGGAAAGTTAAGACTATTCAACAAAGCTAGATCCTTACAGCTTAGGCTCTTTTGCGTCACCTGGTTACTTTCTATGCTATTTTTTGCATTCATTATTAATTGAGGAAAATGAAAACCGTTTATCTCGAATCAAAATCGATAGCCAATGATAGGAAAGAGTCGGCAGGCGGCTTCAGCGGAAACAGAAAATTAACGTATGTCCTGTGTAAAAACTTGATAAGTCTGTACAGTCTGTTTATCAGAAAAGCAGCGGCTTAAGATTTGCTTCGAGGCATGGCGACTTGCAACCGACAATTAAGTTCATTTTCCTCTCAAATGCTGAAATTAGAAAAAATTAAACGCATAGAATTGTTAAGAATCGTAAAGAATTGTTTGACCGATGTGGGAGTGATTTCTTGAAAAAAATTGTGGACACATTTTAGGCTTGTCATTTAGGTTTTTGTTCTGCTGCAACCATAAAAAGATCTTTTATGCAAAAAATGATTGCTTCGCTTGCCATTCTTTCAGAAAAATTGGCCTTTTCGTTCGGGCTCTTTTTGGGCAACTTACTACTCAATTTGTAGTTTTTTTGGCGCTTGATGGCTTCTCAAATTTTTTCAACATTGTTTTTAAAAGCATCTTTTCTAAAACCCCTATGAAAACATTAGAACTGTAGAACTGAAGATGACAGTCTTTTAAATTAAAATTTGAGGAAAATTGAACTGAGAGAAAAAGGTCTACAAATCAAACAAAACGGCTCGTATCAGGGCGAGGTCCTGATAGTTCCGGCTGCCTTTTAAGGTCTATGGAGCATTATTAAAATTGAAAAAAAAATGTAATGAAATAAAACGAAAGTTTTTATTTTGAATTTAAGCTTTTTTTGTGATAATCATTCCCCCATACGCCATATAACGTACAAAGTGCTCCTAATAACATATCAGTTATGGCAATCAAAGTTGTTTCAACCAATTTGGAACAACTTCTAAGACGGATTAAATCTCCGCTACGCGTTAATAGCGCGAAATATATCGCGCGTCAAGTGTCCCAATTTGGATAAAATGGCAATCTTTAAACCTGTATAACTTTACAAAAAATGATCAGCGGTAAAATGATTTTTCCAATGTAAGCTCAAGACAACAATACCTTTTCAATGATATGAAAAACTCTGTCAAAAACGGCTAGTTAAAAAGTAGAAATCTGTCTGAAAAAAAAACCACTACGAGCACAAATATTCCGTTACTTTCATTACGAAAGTCGGAACAAGACTGCTCGTATCAGGGCGAAGCCCTGGATGTTCCGACTGCCTTTTAAGTTCTTTGGAGCCGCAATAACATGAGAAAATCAAATGTAAGAAAAATAAAACGAAATACAATAGCGGAAGTAACGGAATATCGACTTTTAACCAGGTTTTTTTTAACAAATTTTTTTTAATCATTCAAACGGTACCGTTACTCTGAGCTTAAATTCAAAATCTATTTTACTTGTGATTATTTTTTGTACAGTTATGGTTTAAAGATTGCCATTTTATCCAAATTGGGACGATTGACGCGCGATATATTTCGCGCTATTGACGCGCAAGCCGAGATTTAATCCGTCTTAGAAATCGTTCCAAATTGGTTGAAGGAAGCTTATTTGCCAATTTTAATTTGTCACTGGAAGCAAAATTTATCACTTTGTACTTTATATGGCGTGTGGGGGGATGATTTTTGCAAAAAATCTCAGATTAAAAAAACTTGTTTTTATTTTATTACATTTAACTTTTTCATGCTATTACTGCTCCATAGACCTTGCAAGGTTTCCGGAACATTCAGGGCTTTACCCTGACACGAACAGTCTTGTTTTGTTGAGATTTTGTTGCAAAAATTATCAGCCCACACGCCATATAAAGTATCCTTACGCGTTAATGGCGCGAAATATATCGCGCGTTAATTGTCCCAAATTGGCAATTTTTGAACCCCCGAATCTTTACGAAAAAAGATCAGAGGTGAAATATCTTTTTAAAATCAAGCTCAGAAATTAAATACTTTTTGAATGATATAAAATAGTTTCGTCAAAAATAGCTGGTTAGAAAGTCGAAGTTTTCTGAAGAAAAAAGCCCCCGAGCACAAACATTCCGTTACTTTCGTTTCGGAACAACAACAACTGCAATTCTCAACAATTGTCTTACTCTTAAGGTATCATTATGTACATTGATCCCAAAAGCAGCGTTTTGTGAAAACATTGAATTTGAAGAACTAGCTGTCTAAAATGAAGAAAACTGTAGAAAAAATTTGATCTAAAAGTTTGACCACTTTTAATTTGATTTTACTTTTCCGCGCACTTGTAAAGTTTTATCATCATTGATTGAGGAAATGGCTAGAGGACCTATTTTACAATTCTACTGTTTGTCTAGGATAAAAACAATATCTTTGTACGGAAGATTAACTTAATTTTGAGTACCCTACGCTAGAAAAAGTAGCAGACAACGCAGTAGTTTTAGAGGAGAGGTTTGACCCTCGGAGATTCGACCTCGAAAGGTCACTGAAAGTGTTTCACTTTGGTACTATTTTACCACATCAAAATTGGTCGTTCAAATATATTCAAAGGTGCCTGAAAAACGGCATTTTTGACACGTTTAAAAAACGATTTGCCTGCTGAGCAGAACTTTGGTGGAATATGAACTTCATAATATTTTGGAAGAAAAAAAAATCAATAGGGTCGACCGAAAAAAGGCACTCACAGGAAAATCTTAGAGACGCGCCTACTTTTAAGTTTTTGGTCAAATGTTTTATTGAATTTCAAATTTTGAAATTCAAATTTTTAATTTCAAATAAACTTCTTCTGCTGTGCGAGCATTCTGTGATACTTTTCTCGATTTTAAAGGAAAAAAAACATTAAATAAGATGAAGATTGTTGCTTTATCATTCAGTTCTTTTTAATTTTTTTTTGTCTCCTATTTTGTCTTTCAATTAGATGACTATTGTGGTCGGAGCAACTTAACTGTGCAACTTGCACAGCACTATTCTTGTTCGTATGAGCTCACCTTCGAGTGTCTTCACCCATGGCAGTGTCTGCATAGAGTGGAGTACTCCGAACCTCCTCCAGTTAAACTTGTGGGCTATCTTCACACTCAGTGCCTGTGTCTGCTGTACTCGGGGCACCAACTGGGCAAACAGCTGCGACTCCCCCGGACCCAAGTAGAACGAGTCCCTAGGTCAAAATGTACTTTAATTTGGGCGTTTTGTTTGCGTGACATGGCTTTTGTATTATTGGCTGTTCAAGCATTCATCTCTCATAATTTGAAGATTCAGCAAAATTACAGAAAACTTGAACACATTTTTTTTACCCCATAACTTATTGTTCAAATATCTTCTTGCTCAGCAGTTTGAAGCATCAAGTTTTGACTGAACTGTCTAATAGGGTACGAAAATGGAGAGAACGTGAATTCAATTCAGACTGCAATAAAATGTTGAATAATCGCTCCCTCCTCTCGCAAAAACAAACTCGAAGTCAGCATAACCACTCCTTTTTCTCTCTAATTTTTAAAGTCTCTCTTTAAATTCTTAAGTATCTTAATTTACTATTTCTCCATTTTAGAAGCCCTCCTCCCCTACCTCGATGTTGCTGAGGGTGTGAGGAATGGCTTCTGGTATCCACTCTGTAGGAAGAAGGGGTGAGCGAAGAAGGACACTACCCCGTTGGAGTGGTGTGAACATTCTGGTCCAATCACCCCCTTTACCTCTGGCCGCTTCAGAAGACCACTCAACTCCTCAAACTTATCTGGCCTAAATAAACAAAACCACTCAGGAATGCACACAAAAATCTGAATAGGAGCTTTTTACGGAACGCGTCAAGCATAATTTTGTGCCATTTTTTTTACCATACCGAATATCACCACCACAGCGAAACATGTGGGTTTTAGTCAGCGGCGTGCGCAGGTTTTTTTGAGGGGGATGGGCAGTTTTTCAAAAAAATATTGACCTGCGTGTTTTAGGTAGACAACTTTGATTTTTCGAACACATCTAAAAGCGTATGTTGACCCTATTTTGCCAGAAATTTCAGCATCGCTAGAAAATTCATGAAATTGACGTTTTTGAGCCTTTTTTGAAAGAATTTGACCGAGAAGAAAAAACTTTTTTTCCATCATAAAGTCAAGTAGTTTTAAGAAATGAGCTAACATGAGATATGAGCTGCAATTTCCGTCGAAAGGGATGATGTTCACTTTCAGATTTCCCTCGGAATCGCCTCGACTACGGAAATCCGACGCCGCAAGCTCTGCCGAGATCAGGTTCGAGATGCCATCTTTCCAGGTACTGTTCCGGCCCGCGTACATCATCACGAGTGATATGCTTTTGATATCGGTCGTGTTATTTCGAGGAGTTTTTTCATTCATCGTAGGAGAATTGGCTAATCGGGTTTGCTCTGCAAGTGGTATGAAAATAGCCAGAATCAGAATCAAAATGCTCATTGCGCCTAAACAAACATCATCAAGACTCAGGCTTCGCATTGTAACGGATGCTTTTCTAAAACAACACAAGATGTCTTTTTATGCGACGGACATATTTTTAATGGCAGTTTTCTTGATTGTTTGGGTAAGTTCATATCTAGGAGCACAAGAAAACCCAAATGCATTTTCTTCAAATGACCTCTTCACCGTCCGAAGTGCATTCTATTCAGTCTAACCACCTTAACTAAAGCTGGGTAGTACATAAGCTTTCAATGACTAGGGAAATCATTTTCAGGCTTTAGGCACCGCCAAAAATTGTAAAAAGATGACCTTAAAAATCTCATTATCTGAAGAAAAAAAAAGATATCAAGCCCAAAACCTCCAGCATAGATCTGCCGGAACATCCTAAATGACGCATCATTTATGAATGGCAGATTTATCAGAACAATATAATGACATAAGATGACATTTGAACATAAGTATTTAGACAATTGGTTGGTTTTCCAGAGGGCAAGTGGAACATTTAGTGCTTCACTGGTCATAAAAGAAGACTTTTGCTCATTAATGGTTCATCAAAAGGTGGGCTGCGACACGTTCCAGCTCAGTGCAATTCGACCGCTGTCTTCGTTTCTAATTTGTATCCAATTATATCTCCATTATATTATGAAAAAGACACCAATCCGTCCCTTCTTTTCGCTCTAGGGCTCCGCTACTACGATGCGTCTTTCAAGTAATTCAATACTTGGGACGTTCTTCTTATACTTCTTACAGCCAAGACGGCTACTCAGTACAGCAGCAGCGGGCACAAAAGAGTCAGTAAATTCTAGCAGACTTGTATCCACTTGTGTCTCCACTAAAGAGTGTGTCTATGAATAACACTTTTTAATGTTATTCATAGACGTATTTCATATTTTATCTCATAAGATCATCTCGCTATTCATCTTTAGGAGACTTCAGTCTTTAAAAGATGAATACCTATTCAAGATAAATCGTCTTAGTTTTTAAGAAATGAGGGTTGCTGTTCTATGGCTCAGCAATTAGTTCTTTTTTTTAAAAAAAAAGTCATGAATAGTCTCGCTTCTTAAGCTTTGCTAGTCATGGCAAATGAGACCACAAATGGTTGCAAGGCGCAGAAATGATTAGTCACTGTCACTTTTTTTTTGTAAAAACTTCATAATAGTCTCTACCAACATTACAATCAACCCGAAGAATTTGCAAAAAAAACATATACCAATCTTATCAGAAGGCACTTATTGCAAAAAATTTCTCCGGCAGGCAACAATTGTGTTGAAGCAGGCTAACCCGTCACGATTTTCTGGATTTTTCCAATGTAAAAGCAAACAAACACGTCAGTTCATGTTGGGATCAAAAAAAGTTCACGCGTAAGCGTTAACAGCCTGAACAGATTTCACAAAGGGGCAGGACATGGAAGCCCCATTGGAGCCTTTTATGTGGTCCTCATCGTGAAATGATTACAAGATATTTTCGCTAACATAAAGCTTCTCGAAAAGGATAATACCATATAATATGATACACTTTGTGAGACTAAAAAAAATTGCGTTGTGTTAATATTTAACTTTGTTCACGCTGTTCTTCTGGCACTTTGACCTGTGCAGCGGGCAGAATTGACCTGCGCATTAGCAGCCGTAGATAAGCGTTAAGCTGGTTTAACTCTATAGGAGGTGGGAATCGGCGCCGATGAAAACAGTTATAGCTTTCTTCTCTGTTTAAAAGGAAACCCATAATCAATTCGAGTACCCTACATTTCCGCTGCACTTTTAAATCAATTAATTTACTAATATTCATCTGTTGTAGCGGAAAAATAAAGTGCCGGTTATGGGGTGTGTTTAGGGGGTCTAAGCAAAACTTCGATGAATTAAATTGGTTCGCTGTGTCATGGTTTAAACAGTCTGCAATGCTAAAAATTTTTAAAATCAGCCTGAAAAATGACGGAGGTGACAGTAGTTAAGGTGAGGGGTTTTCAGTTTGTCAGGAACTAAGTACACTGAAGAACGATAAGTTTCCTAAGCATCATCCTGAATGGTATTTTAGGGGCTGGTGCTTATCTTTTTATTTAAAAAGGTTAAGGGGAACTGAAAGGTTGCAAATTTACTCAATTCATCAAGAAGTTGAAAGCAAAACAAAAAAAAATCAGTTGCTCATTTTGATAAAATAATCCAGAAGGTCAAAAGAAAAGATGATATTAAAGAGAATCAAGGGAGCGGAAGGAAAAGAGGTTGTTCCTCAATCTGGACTGCCTATTTTCAAAGTACAGTGGAGGTTGTACTTATATGCACTTGGTTGTGTGCATTTAATCAAAGCGTGAAATATGCAATCAAAACATTTTTTGAGTCCCTGATTGAACCGTAAAACTAATTATAATTAGCCAGTCAATGATTTTTTTGGTGAAGAGAATTAATTTTTGAGACCTCCTTTGAATAAAATTGTTCGGCACTTTTTTGAAGGCAAAAAAATTGAGTGAACATTTTTCCCCATTGGCAAAATAGCATCTGTTTTCGAATTTTTTTATTCATGAAATGCTAAGAAAACAAGTGAAACTAATTTAAGGTTTCTTTTTCCTCTCCCCTTACTTGGGATTTCTTGCTAGTAATTTTTTTGTTTTTTATGTGCGATTGTTACAAAAATTGGCATGCGGGCTGCTTTCGTGAGGTGGGGAAAAGGAAAAATAGGCTTATTAGGAATCAATATCAGAAGTTTGGGCTACTAGTTGGGTATAGAAAAGTCGGCTCTTTTTCCTAATTTCGACTTTTTAATTGGCATTTTTGACGGAATTTTTTAACATCATTCTAAAGGTACTCCACTTTCAATACTTTTGTTCCGACTTTCGATACAAAAGTAACGGAATATTTGTGCTCGGGGTGGGTTTTTTCTTTCTTTCTAACTTTAACTGGCCCTTTTGACAGAATTGTTTTGTCCTGAGCTCAAATTTGAAAAGATATTTCACCTGTGAATTTTTTTTGTAAAACTATGGGGGTTTAAAGACTGGCATTTTGACCAATTTGGGACAATTAACGCGCGAAAAATTTCGCGCTATTAACGCGTAAGCGAAAACTCAATCCGTCTTAGAAATCCTTCCAAATTGGTTGAAGGAAGCTTATTTGCCATAATTCATTTGTTACTAAAAGCAAAGTTTATCACTTTGTATTTTATATGACGTGTGGGGGGATGGTTTTCACAAAAAATCCCAAAATTTTTTCAGAAATTTTTTCATTTTTTGTATACATTTTTTTTCATGTTATGACTGCTTCATAGACCATAAAAGGCAGTCGGAACATTCAGGGCTTCGCCTTGATACGATCAGTCTTGTTTATTATTTGGATAGGAGATTTTTTTTAATTATGGCAATTGTTTGCGACGAATTCTCGCAGTTTGAATTGATATAAAAGATTGCTTTTGACCAATTGTCGCTATGGACATTTTAATACCTCGTGGCAATCAGCGCCTGAGTAGCAATTTAATCCGGCCCCAAAATTGTCTCAAATTAGCTTAAAATAAAAATTTTTGTCTTTGTAATGAAATTCTTAGGCCGAATATATCCTTTTGAGCTTTGCGTAGCCTGTTGGCTGAATTTGTTTGTTTTTGCTTGGAATTATTCTCAATGTTTTGAATCAAAAATATTTCATAGACTTCTATGGACTCTCAGAATATTCAGGGTTCCACCCTGGTGCAAACAGTCTGGTAAAGGATCTTTGTGATCAAATTTCGTCATTGTAACTGATCAATATATTAATTTTACACGTCTAATTGGGTTAAAAATAAGCTGCAACAAATGTTTGGAAGCTAAAAAACTAAAAAGAAAATTACACTCCATTACATCTCATTTTCTCATTTAAGTTTTTTTAATGCCCTAATAATTTTTCCAAAAATGTTGCCTTCGTCTATCCAACTCATATTCTGAACCTACTCAGCAAAGTTTTTGCAGTTTCTACATACAAACTGTTAGTTGAATGACAAAAAATTTGTTGCATAGACTCTCACCATATCCATCAATTTCTCGCCCGGCACTAAATGACTACGCAGCCCCCATGTTTAATTGTCCTTGCACCTTCGCATAGTAACTGCACGTCAAAAAAACGTTAAGCAATAAATTAAATTTTTGCAAAGAAAAAAACAAATGACTGCTCGTATCAGGGCAAAACCCTGAGTGTTCCGACTGCCTTTTAAGGTTTATGGAGCAGTAATAACATTAAAAAATTAAATGTATTGAACGAAATGAAAATTTGTTTTTTCTAAAGTTTGAACACTTTTATGAAAATCATCCCCCCACACGCCATAAAAAGAACAAAAGGATAGATTTCGCTCCTTGTAACAAATCAAATATGGCATATAAGCTTCTTTCAACTAAATCGGAACGATTTCTACGACGGATTAACTCTACGCTTACGCGTTAATAGCGCGAAATATATCGCGCGTTAATTGTTCCCAATTGGCCAAAATGGCAATCTTTAAAAAACCCCATAACTTTACGGGAAATGATCACAGGTGAATTATCTTTTCAAATTTAAGCTCAGGACAACAATACCTTTTGAATGATGTAAAAAAATGCCGTCAAAAATTGCTAGTTAAAAAGTCAAAATTTGTCCGAAGAAAAAAAAACCCACCCCGATCACAAATATTCCGTTACTTTCGTATCGAAAGTCGGAACAAAAAATCGTTCGATACAGTAATGCTGCAACTTCAATGTCAAACTGTTGGATATATTGAGATGTGTCTTTAAGTTTTAAAGTTTTTTAAGATTGAATCAATGATTGATCATAGAAGTCTTAGTATTCAAACAATATAATTGATTACTAAATTTGTAAATGAGAAACTAATCGGAAAATGTACTTTCCAAAAATGTAACTTTCGCTTTTTCAGTGCGTCATATAGAATTTCAGTGCATGATACATTGTATACTTTTCTCATCATCGACTATCTGTTTCTTTGACATATCAGCTAAACACGGTTTTTGTCAAAACTGCTCATAATATTAACATTACTTTTCCACCACTGAAAGTGAGAAAAA